GGAAGGAAGATGAGGCAATCTACTTCCATAGTGATACTGCCTCGGAAACCCAAGGAGGGGTCGCTATAAGTCGGGTCCGACTCGAAGGCACATAAATTTGTATATGAGCTCTGGTAGCATAATGCCTAAGGCACTTGACTGCTAACCAGAAGGCTGGCCGTTCAAACCCACTAGCAAGTCCTTGGAAGGAAGATGGGGCAATCTACTTCCATAGTGATACTGCCTAGGAAACCCAAGGAGGGGTTGCTATGAGTCGGGTCTGACTCGATGGCACACAACAACATATATATATGCACTGATGATACTCGTCTGTCAGTTTGTCATATTGTGGTGGCTTGCATGTTGCTGTGAGGCTGGAGGCTATGCCACAGGTATTTCAAATACCAGCAGAGTCCACCCATGGTAGACAGGTTTCATTGGAGCTTCCAGACTAAGACAGACTTGGAAGAAGGAGGGGCCATCCACTGCTCAAAGAATTGGCTAGTGAAAACCTTATGAATAGCAGTGAAACACTGTCTGATATGTTACTGGAAAACGTGATGAATAGCCCTGAAACACTGTCTGACACAGAGTCACTGTACCAAAAAGAATTGGTTGACCTTTCAGGAGGTGGCATATGATCAAGAACCAATGAAATCTGAAGACACTCAAAATATGCCTGGGGAACAGCTGCCTCCTCAGACTAGAGTCAACCTTAATGATGTGGATGGAGTAAATCTTTTGGGACATTCATGTGCTGATGTGGCATGACTCAAAGTGGGAAGAAACAGCTGCAAACATCCATTAATAATTGGAACATGGACTGTATGAAGTATGAATCGAGGAAAATTAGAAATTTTCAAAAATGAAAAGGAATGTATAAAGATCAACATCCTAAGCATTACTGAGCTGAAATATACTACTTTTGGCTATTTTGAATCAGACAACCATATGATTTACTATGCTGGGAATAACAAATTGAAGACGAATGACATGGCATTCATTGTCATGAAGAATGTTTCAAGATCCATCCTGAAGTACAATGCTGTCAGTGATGGGATAATATCCATACACCTACAAGGAAAACCAGTCAATCCTGTCACTGCCATTGCATTGATTCAACTCATAGTGACCCCTCCTTAGGTTTCTGAGGTGGTATCTCTACAGAAGTAGATTGCCAAATCTTCCTTCTGAGGAGTAGCTGGTGAGTTTGAACGACCAGCCTTTTGGTTAGCAGTCTTAGTGCCTTGGGCACTATGCCACCAGAGCTCCACAGTTAATACCACTAGTACTCAAATTTACACACCAAAGACCAAAGCCAAAGATGAGGAAATCGAAGATTTTTACCAACTCCTGCAGTCTGAAATTGACCAAACATGCAATCAAGATGTATTGAGTATTATAGGTGACTGTAATGTGAAAGTTGGAAACAAAGAAGAATCACTGGTAGCTGGAAAATTTGGCCTTGGTGATAGAAAGATATTGGAGATCTCATGAAAGGATTCTGAAAGACCAACAACTTATGCATTGCAAATACCATTTTTCAACAACATAAATGGTGACTATACATGTGGACCTCACCAGATGGAATACGCAGGAATCAGATTGACTATATCTGTGGAA